ATCTGATCTGTGGTGCTTTGTGTGTTCCTTTAAGTTTGCTGCCTTCCCTTTTATTATTGCTTTTTTCCTCCCACTGGCCTCGCAGGTGTTGGTGTAAATTTTTTGGATTTCAAATGGTCGTTAAAAGCGAACGGAGTTTTTGTTCTGCTGAAATTCTTTCTAATAATTCCTCTTCTTTCTCTGAGAAGAACGCCTTGTCTCAATATATCTGCCATCCGTCATATAACCTATCACATACACATTATTACCTGTTCCCGTCTTTTGCCTGCAGACGCTATATCAATGCTACTACTTGTATAGAGCAAAAACCGCCAGTCTGGATCTAAAGAAGTTTCCAGGAAGAGGCTAGAAAATTTAATGGTTTTGAGGCCTCCCCTTGGCACCCGACCCTTATGCAGTTTGGAGATGCATTCATTTAGTCGCTCAACATTCATGGATAGGTGGCAGCTTCCTAGAAAATGATAGGTTGGGACCACACTGCTCCATACATACCACACGCAAGCCAAAGGCAGACGGTCTATCGGTATCTGGTGAACAAAACCCGCAACGGGAATTTTAGCAGAATATCTCTGGGACCCAGCTCGCACCAGGGCTACTGAGAAGTAACTTAACTACCAGAATATATAAACTTACAGCGTGTGGGCAACCAGGCGGATGCTGAAACTTAGCTACGCCGTCACTAGGCTAACTGGTAAGTTATTAAGGGGGCCGAACCATTCCATACATCAATATGCTGTACAGTAGTAATTGTCTAACGGATGGCTGACCGTATATCTCCATGAAAGGAAATGGGCTAAATGTCGGCAAGCATGTCTTTGTTAAATAAGAATAAATTGACGATAAAGGAAATTGTTTAAAGATTCAAAAAGAAAGAGAGAGAAAAAGAGAGAAAAAGAAAGAAAGAAAGAAAAAAAGAAAAGGAAAGAAAAGAAAAAAGTTGTGTCTGACCGTGCTCGCTTTGAGTCGGCTCGAACTTTATCCTTTGCATCCGCCTTGACGAGAAGAGGAAAGGGAGTAGCTGTTATCATTGGGTGGGGGGACTGGCAGGACCAATGTATATGTGTATACCCAACTTCTTTTCTGGAGGTACCTGTTCAGCCATGAGAGGCGGAGTGGATACTGGGTTTTCACGCTTCCACAGTCATTCATGCACCCAGATTCCCACTCCTTCTCTGCACCTTGTCCCTGCCTCCGTTGTTGCTGCCAAGCCCTCATATTTTTCCAGCCGGTATAATCGAAGATACCTGCGCAATTTTTCCAGTTTTGCTCTTTATACTTGCAGCATTGTCTATCACTCTTCAATTTGAAACTAGGACAGAAATAGCACTCATTGTAGAGACAGCAATTAGTCATCTCAAGGAAGAACTTTCTGTAACACCTGGGGCATTTCCACAGCCAGGGTTTTGAGACTGGCAGAGTTGCTGGTTGCTGATCTCTATCAGCATCCCCTGGGGTTTCACAGGTACTGGCAGGTGTTAAAATGCGGCTCTGTTGTGGAGACGAACAAGCACTCACGATCGGTGACTCAGTGCTTCTGTTTGAGGCAGGGCTGTGTGGCAAGTCGATTGAACGGTATTCTCGACGTCGGGAGAGTCGTTGGAGCTTGAGTCCATGATTATCAAACTGAAACGGTAGCAATGTAGTTTTAGGGAGGAAATGTTTTCTCACTTGTGAAGATTTGGTGTAATAGCCTAGTACTTAGGAAGATGACTTTCAATAAAGACCTTCATAGGCAAGGGAGCTTCTGGAAATACATATCAATTGCTATGAAGGGCTGGGTATGGCCGAAAGGAGGTGTCCGGCAAAAGTCTTCCACATCGGGCGGAAGAAACCGATGTTTTGATCATTGCAAATAGGGACCGAGATGATCGATCGGTGAGTTCTAAACCTTGTGAATTTCTTCCATCCAACACAGGAATAAAAGCAAAAAACCAGTAAGAAAGTATTCATCTTGTGCGAAATCTGAAATATGAAATCAGTAAACCATTTGTAGAATCCAAAAACTAGGAACTAGGGCTTGATACTGGGGTGCAACAAAGATCATTGTTCTCAGGCCTCAGACAGAAACATCAAAATATCAACATGAAACAAGACAGCAAAGCTCAAGTGAGAATAGAATCTTCCGTTCTCAGGATGAACAGAGATTGTTACATTGTGCTGTAGAAAAACTGGAATACACAGTACCTCATCGTGTTTATCAAGAAGGTAAAACTCATCTTGATAAACTTGAGTTCTGGATTGAATATCAGAATATAGAAATAGCTCACAATGCTGCAATCATCTGATTTGACTCTCTGCAACATCATAGCACCCTGTCTCTTTGACATAAGAGGCAGAGATATTATTGTATTGAGCCTTAGAGAATGAAGCATTCATAGCTGTGGAAGTGTCTTGAAGAATTTGAGCAACCAGAGCAAGTTAGAAAACTTCAAAATTGAAAGATATATAAATGTTTTGCTATTGGAGAAGAATGAGAGTCTGATCTTGAGACTTGATTTAGACTGCGAGATTTTTGATAGAGCTTATCGCACGTGACCCTCCTACAAGCCCTGGCTAAGCAATGCTGTGATATAAAGTTGTTTGGATGACTCGAGGCCCTTATTTCTCTGCGCCCCAAGACGCAGTTACAACACCCTTGGTCGCGCTTTATTAGCATTTGAATTTTGTGACAGATTTTGAGTGGCTTCTTTCGTATCTGATCTGGCATTTCTCATTCGAATTACCCCGCGAGTCAAAATGGCTACCCCGCCTCCTGGTGCAGCGGAGGTCGTAGTCCCCGTACACGATGGTGAGAAGAAAGGGGCCACCGAGCAGCAGATCGACCCTTGGAATGTTGAAGCTGGGCATGACGCTCAAGGAAATGCTCTTGCTATTGACTATCTTGCGCTTTCGCAGTACGTCTAACCCCGCTGTTTCGCTTGGGAGACCTAGGCTCTGACGCATCGGGCACAGGAAATGGGCGACCAAGTTAATAGATGACGAGCTCCTCCAACGCTTCGAGCGTCTTACTGGCCACAAACCCCATCGCTGGCTGAGGCGCGGCCTTTTCTTTTCTCATCGCGATTTCGACAATATCCTCAATAAATACGAGCGGGGGGAGCCTTTCTTCATGTATACGGGGAGAGGCCCTTCAACGGATGCGCTACATTTGGGTCATACGATCCCTTTCTCGTTCACAAAATGGCTACAGGATGTATTTGATGTTCCATTGGGTATGTTGAAGGATATGGACGGTGTTATTTAACGTACGACTTTTGCTTGCTCGTGGGACTATGCTGATCTTTTCATAGTGATTATGCTTACAGGTGAGCAGCGTACGTAGTCCAATTTATACGAGGTCTATGTTGACAGTCAAAGACGACGAAAAGGCCCTTTTTAAGGACAATCTCACATTCGAAGATACATATAAGTTCGGGTTGCAGAACGCGAAGGATATCATCGCTTGCGGGTTTTGACCTGAAGAAGACTTTCATATTTAGTGATCTGGATTATGTCAAAGGTCACTTTTTGATGAACGTTTGGGAATTCTCGAAACTCGTAACGTTTAACCAGGTTCGAGGAGCCTTTGGGTTTAATGAGAGGTTAGCACTATTAGGCCCCTGTTTGCGGGTGATGCAGGAGAATTGAGGAAACGGGAGAGGGCATTGCTAGAGCGAGGAATTGTCCTATTAGGCGGTATGGCTAAATCAGTAGCTTCGCCAGATTCGCTCCTGCTATTTCCCCCCTCGTCTCTTCTCTTTGCACTTCAAGAATTGCTCGATCTAAAATTGTCGCTAACACTTTGCAGCACAAATATCGGCCGGATAATGTTCCCCGCTGTGCAATGGTATGTTATTCACTCTCAAAAGATATGTATTCAGCTGACCGCGAGATAGTGCCGCTGCATTCGCAACGTCGTATCCGGAGATCTGGTCTGATAACCCCTCCGCTGTGAGGACGAAAGACATAGGCAAAATCCCTTGTTTGATTCCTATGGCTATTGATCAAGATCCATATTTCCGACTCGTCCGCGACAATGCTTCTCGTATGCGATTTCCAGGGCCAAAGCCGGCGCTGATACATTCTAAATTCCTTACGGCTCTGCAAGGTATTGGAGGAAAAATGAGCGCAAGCGACCCGAAGTAAGAATATGCAAACCCCTCAAGTAACGCCGATTGTATTGAAACTTACACCCCTGCGCATAGTTCTGCAATTTTCATGACGGATACGCCCAACCAAATCAAGGTTCGATTGATTCCTTCCTATGATACACCTAATTAGTATTGCTTACTCGTTCACTTTGCAGAAAAAAATCACGAGGCATGCATTTAGTGGGGGCCGAGACAACATAGAAGAGCACAGACGGCTAGGCGGTAATCCTGACGTTGATGTTTCGTTCCAATGTGAGTAACTATCCTTTACTACAGTTTCAATACCTAAATTGATTGTCTCTGACTAAACACGCGCGCATAGACCTCTCGTACTTTGAAGAAGACGACGAAAAGCTCAAGAAGATTGAGGAAGGTTACCGGAAGGGAGAGATCCTTACTGGCGAGCTTAAGATGATGGCCATCACTTTACTGCAGGAGTATGTGGCAGAGTTCCAGGAGCGGAGAAAGCTTGTTACGGATGAACTTTTGAAGCAGTATATGACTCCCCGGAAGCTGGAATGGAAGGGAAATCCCAATCCGAAGCCCAAAGAGGTCAAGCCGAAGGAATCAAAACCGAAGGAGCCCAAGGTAAAGAACGAAGCGAAGAAGCCCCAAGACGACAATTGACAGGAAATAAAGCTCGAGATATGTCGATTTGATTAGTTGATTAGATAGAGGTTTGGATGTAAATATTAGTGTTTGCATGCAAAAACCACACCTTTCTATATCTAGAAATCTAGAAATATTGAATAGATAATAAGAGTTAAGAATGTAAGAAATCCTGCTCCTTGCGGATCTTTTACCCCTATTTCTATCTCTTGTGTAATCAATAGAGTTAGCAGCCCTTGACTACAAACAACTATATAGACTGGAGTTTGTGACTACTATTTATAACTCAGCTTGAATACTATTATACATTTGACTTCTATATTTATCTTTCTACAGTAAATACTTCTAATAATTATCATATATTATATCAAGCTGCAAATCTCTGAATAATTATCTGTGAGTATTTATTCTTACATTTCAAACTCTATCAGTCAGCAACTGTTTATTATAATTGAAAGAATTAGAAATTTATATATTTTAGTCTCTGCAAACTCTACTGCAGAAACTCAGAAATAATTAACTAAATTATGAATAATTTCTGTGAAAAAAATCCCAGAAAACTCACAATCTATTTATAGAATATTACATTTTATATTTAAAATAGAGAAACTTTTTAAATCTGTAAATAAATTTATTTTAATAAAGAATATTTTTAAGTATTTTTCTGTAAGAGATCTACACTAAATAGATCAGAATTAACATATAGATCTTATATAATAAAAGTGAAAAATATTAGAGAAGAAAAAAAGAGAAAGTGCAGAAATCAGTGATTAAAGTAAATATTTATACATGTATAAGATGAAGCTTTAAAGCAGAAGAATAGAAACTCTGTGAATTTCTCAGCTAAGAATCAGTGACTAAGAATCAGAGCTTTTAGTAGAAGAATTAAAGCTTTCAGCAGAAATCTATAAAGTGTAATAAAATAGTCTTATATAATTAAGTACAGTCTACTACATTAACTTCTCTCTTTTAAGAGTGAGATTTAAGTAATAGATCTATGAGCGTGTAGTTCTTATCAGTTAAGAGTTACTGTTTCAGATAATATAAAGCTCAGAATTCAGATCAGATAATTATAACTAACTTATTTTACAAGATATTATTAACTGCAGCTGTAAAGTCTCTTATTAAGAATATCTTTAATCTTTTATTTAAGTTTATTATCTTCTTCTATGATCTCTGATGATTGCTAGTTAAAAGTCAATTAAGAAGAAAATAAGTCAGTAGTAGTACAGTGAAGTAAGCTTATATAAAAGATATCATGAATAGACTGGCCGCTGAGATCATGAATTTCATGTTTGATTTCATTTAGTCTAGTCTCATACATTTCTTAGTATGAATCCCGCTGGGACTAATCATTAAAATAACATGTAAAGTGACTATATATCAGATCTCAAAATGAGATCATAACTTAGAAAAAATAAGAAAGTGATCTCATTTGATTTTATTTAGTCTCATTCTTGGCATAAAGTTACTATTTTTAGACATTTTAAGATTTTTTTTAGACTATTTTTAATTTTTTAAAAAGTAACACTTTTTGATAACACTCAAATAAGATTTAAAGTCATTTAAAGCAATAAAAATAATTTAAATTGAGAAGTGAAAATCATGATCTCATTTGAAAAATATGACAAGAGTAGACAGTAAGTCTTACTGAGACAGTATGAGACTACTATCTAATGTTAAAATGATGTAATGAGATCAGTTGAATTGGTAATGAAATTATCAAATATTCTGATTCTGGACTCAGACACAGTTACATAGTCAGTCTAATCATGAATTTCTGATAAGATATTAAGATAGTAGTTATAACTATTTAGAACTTCTATAACTTTGTATTTAACATGATAATAGTTCAGTGTATAAGATAAGTATGTAATATATATATTTTTAAGATTTAATTATATCAGGTCTTCTATTTTATATTACTTAGTGAGATTTCAGCAGATATTAATTTAATTCTCTTAATCTTATTCAGTGTTTATTATGAAGACTTTTACTCAGTTATAGATATCTCAGAGCTTTATTACTATATTATCAGTGATCTGAATCAGACTGTAAAGATTTAATATGAACTATATAATCTCTAGAAGATTCAACATCTTCATATAATAATTATATATAAGAAAGAACAGACTTATATCTGTTAAAATTATATCTCAGTTATTAATGACAATCTCTGTGTATAAGACGCCTACGCTGAATAGATTGATATGATATTTATAGATCTTATATAATAAAGTGAAAAACGTTAGAGACGAAAAAGAAAGAGAAAGTGTGAGAATTAATAATCAGAGTAAATATTTATACACATACATAGTAATATATATAATAAAGCTTTGAGATAAAAGAATAGAAATTCTGTGAGTTTTTCAGCTGAGAATTAATGACTAAGAATCAGAGCTTTCAGTAGAAATCTATAAAGTGTAATGAAATAGTCTATATAATTGATCAGATGCAGTCTGTCACATTAATTCTCTCTTTTCTAAAGTGAGATTATATGTAGTTCTTATCAGTTAAGAGCTGTAGTCTCAGATAATGTGAAACTCAGAGTTCAGATCAGATAATTATAGCTGACTTATTTCAAAAAATATTATCAGCTGCAGCTGTGAAATCTCTTATTAAAAATATCTTTAATCTCTTATTTAAGTTCATTATCTTCTTCTATGATCTCTTATGACTATCAGTCAGAAATCAGTTGAGAAGAAAATGAATTAATAACAGTGCAGTGAAGCAAGCTTGTATAAAAGATATTATAGATCTCTGATAATATGTTAAAATAGTAGTTATAACTGTCTAGAACTTCTATCACTTTATACTTAGTATAATAGTAATTCAGTGTATAAGATAAGTGTGTAATTTATATATTCTTAAGATTCAATCACATTAAATCTTCTATGTTATATTACTCAGCAGAATCTCAGTGAACATTAATTTAATCTTCTTAATCTTGTTTAATATGTATTATAAAGACTTCTGCTCAGTTGCAGATATCTCAGAGCTTTATTATTATATTATCAGTGATCTGAATTGAACTATAAGAATTCAGTATGAACTGTGTACTCTCTAGAAGATTCAACACTTTCATATAATAATTATATGTAAGAAAGAACAGACTTACATCTATTGAGACAGCATTTCAGTCATTGATAGTAATCTCTGTATATAGAAGAAGATTATATCAATTATCTTATAAGTAGTTACAGAACTTATAAAGATAATTCTTTACAGTCTGAATTATTTATTCTGATGCATTATCAGTCTCAAAGTGATAAGTAGTTAATAAACAACATATAATCTTGAGAACTTAATACATTCTTATTCAGAGAGTGCTTACAAATTGATAACTTTAATTCAATACTATAGATCTCAGTAATTCATGCATTCAATAGAATGAGCTCTGTAGAAAGACTTTAATAACTTGTTCAGTACTCATTCTATTATAAGATTTCAATATGATATCTTTACTTAATCAGTTAACAATGATCAGAATGTTCTTATAACTCTTACTTTCAGAGAGATTGATAGTAAAGTTAATTATTATATCTGATCAGATTCTATCAAAGATATTAAGCAGTTTCAGTAGATTTTTTCTACAATTCTTTCATGAAATGATAGAGAAATAATAGTTACAGTTTCAGATAAAGCATCTGATGCTGTTCAATATCTCAGATCAGTAGAATTCTCAAGAGATTATTTAGTACAGTTATTTATAACTCAGATAATTAGTTATATACAAATTATGTATCTCTTATATTATTCAGATGCATAAAAGTTTAGAGTGAAAGACTCAGTATTATTCACAGAATCACAGAGTATTATTATCATTGATTAAGTATTCTGTGATATCAGTTCTTATATATTCTTCTGAGGAAAATCAGAGTGCTTCTTGATATACTGTTTCAATGAGTACTTAAAGAAGTTCATCAGTTTGAGCTATTATATGTCATAATTTATTCAGTGTAGATTTAGAAGAAGTTAAGATATCAGTGACAGTTCAGAGAGAAAATGTTTCAGTGACAGTTCAGAGAGAAGGTGTTCTAATTAAAGAAGTATATATAGTGTTATAAGTTGTTTTATCTTGATTAACTAATATCTTCAGATTTAAGAGCTGATACTCTCAGTTTATTCAGTGAGTATCTGTTACATCAGATAATATATCTTACTCTTATTATAAGAGAGTATCTGTCATTGAGTTCTGACTGTCAGAGTGATAGTGTATTATAAAATGAAAACAGCTTAATAGCTTAGATTATTATATCTGTTATTCAGTAAGCTTACAGATAATAGTAAAGTGTTTGAGATTCTTATAATTTAAGATTATTTCAAATTTGAAGACACTTTAGAGCTCAGAGTCTCATTCTTTTAAACAGTGTACTATTGTAAGAAGTTTCTTATCATAGATCACATAGTTGTATTCAGCAAAGCTCAACTTCTTAGATATAAAGATATATAATTATAAGATATCTTTATTATTATATTACAATATAGCTCTCTCTGTAACATAGTCAGAGAAGTCAGCTTTAATAACTGTTTTACAGTCAGAGTTAAATATCATTAGTAGAGAAGTATTAATAAATATCTTCTTTATTTATGTAAATGCAGCTTCAGTATCTGCTAATTATTGAAATACTGAGTTCTTCTTAGTAAGTTCTGTAAGTGATTTCATAATATCTGAGAAGTTTCATATAAATCACTGATAGAAGTTAGTAAATCTGATAAAGCTTTATATATCTTTCACAGTGCACAGAGCTTCTCATTTAAGAATAGTGAAGATCTTCTCAGAATTTATTCAGATTTTCTTATTAACTTCTATAATAAAGTCTAGATATTTTATACTCTTAACTTTAAAATTATACTTGTCTATATTAATCAGTAGTTCTGCTTCTTATAGTTATTATAATACTTTTTATACATGTTCTTGATATTCTTTTCTGAATTCATCAGTGAAGATGAGAATGTTATTAAGATAGACAGATATAAACTTATTAAGAAAATCTCAAAGTGCTCAGTTAATATAC